GGTTATCCTAAATCTCTGGAATCAGGCTATGAGGTATCTGATAGCACCATGATTGTGGCTTTTCAAAGTAACGGAATCATGTAAATAGGAAAGGGGTTCGATGTGCAGGTGACTCCCAGATATTAATGTTAATAAAATGACTTCTCCATTCGAACGTTTCATGAAAATTTAAAGCATCAGCTTATTACTTACAGGTATCTAAATATGCAGACCAGGTTCTCCAGAAGTCTTGGGAAGATGCTGGGCTGGGTTCCCCGGGAATGTTCCGTGTGTCCCCTGTGTTGCATTTGGTGCACAATGTTTGGAGGGGTGGGGGAGACAGAGAGAGAGGAGAGAGAAAGAAAGGAAGAGAAAGAGAGAGAGAGGGAGGAAGAGAGAAAAGAGGAGAGAGGAGATGATGCTGGCACAGAGATGTGAAGACCAGGTGCTGATTTATTACTTTAACTTCACAATTGAAAGTAAATGTACTTGAAAGCACTGTGCAGCAGGACCCTGTGCCCCGGGGCGGGCAGCCCGGCACTGGGAAAGCACTCGGAGCCAGCATCCCTCGTCAGGTTCAAATCCTGGTTCCTCCACATCCAGGCCACATGGCTTTGATGTGTCACTGCCTCCTTCCATCCTCTGCACAGTAGGCAAAGAAATATCCAGGCCCCGAGATGCTGCTTGCCAGGCAATTATTGAGATGCAGAGCCCCTGGGGGATGCAGGAGGTGCTGGCCTTGTTCTTACCGAAAACGTACTCTCCATGGGGATGCCCACTGAGGAGCAGGGTGAGGACATTGGTCGCTCCGGGTGTTCAGAACATGCCTGGGGTGGGACTGTGAGGCTCCTGTGGCTGAGGAGCAAGGCAGGTGGCCTCTGACCTCATCAGCCCTCAACTGTGACGGCCAGCTTGGAGACTTGCTAGTGACCAACATCAGGACTTGCTGCCAGGAAAGAAGTCCTATGACAAATACCAAACAAAGGGGTGCAGAGGTGGGGGCAGGCACATAGGGTTAGGGGGGACACTGGTGTCTGCTCTGAATCTCACACCCCTCTCTGTGCCCTGCTTTTGCGTCAAACAGCAGCTCTGCTCGGCAGCTCTTTATGCTCCCCAAGCCTCTACCCCTGGTGCTGCCCATACTTCCATGAAGGCTGAGCCCAGGGCCCTGCTGATGGGGAGCTGCGTTAGGGCAGACATGTGGGCAATTTGAGCATGGCAGGGTAGACATTTCCCCCTGGAGAAAGCTGGGTGGCAGACAGGGGTTGTTCTGGTCATATCCCAGGGAGTACGTGGAAAGTCATCTCGGGGCTTAATAGAAGGTTGGGGCAGGCTGCAGGGAGTGATGCTTGTGGGGACAGCTGGGGACAGGTGGGGGTTGGTGTATTTGATGCTATTGTGATCTGGCACTCAGACCCACCTAGCAGCCCACTGACCATTCCTACATCCCAACAGGGCTCTTTGCGGGCAGCCAGGGCTGCCATAACAAAGTGCCACAGACCCAGCGGCTTACTCAAAGCCCAAGTCTGAGATCAGGGTGTTGCTTCTCTCTGAGGGCTTGAGGAAGAATCCGTTTCATGCCTTCCCCTAGTTTCTGGTGGTTGCTGGCACGGTTTGACATTCCTTGGCTTGTAGAGGGATGGCACTGCCCTCTGTCTTCATCTTCAGTGGCTTCCCCCATGTGTGTGTCTTGGGTCCTCCCTCTTATGGGGACACCAATCATGTGGGATTAGGAACCCATCCTACTCTATTATGACCTTAATTGTATTTGTAACAACATTATTTCTAAATAAGATCACACTCTGAGGTACTGGGGGTGAGAACTTCAACATGTGAATTTGGGGAAGAAATGGAATTCGACCCTTATCAGGGCCCAGGATGAAAGGGAAACAAGTCCTGCTTTAGTAACACCTGAGCCCCCAAACACCTCACCCTGGAGGCTTCAGCTCTGCAAGTGGCCCCATCTGTTCAAATCTTGGCTCCATCCATTAACTAGGACTGCCGGGGGAGGGCCAGTAAACTGGCCACGTGGAGGACCGAGAGAGCAAGGCAGGCGGGGGCACCTTGGAGCACACAGCAAACTCTGCACACTGGCGACCTGTGACTGGTCAGAAGTGCAGTGCCCCTTTCTTGGATGGGCTGGCTTTAGGAAGTATGAGCAGAGAGAAGATGGGTTGATGCATGTCCTGTCTAAAGGGCCTTCTGGAAGGGGACCTCCTGGTTATCCAAATACCTGCACGGATCTAGCAGTGGCTGTGGCAATGTGCACATCCTTGCCTCTTGTCAGGTACCATAGACAAAGGAGGATTTGGAGCTATCAGAGCTAGGATGGAGCAAAGTCAGCCACAGCGGGCACAGGGGGATCCCTGTGCAGGGGGGAAGCTGCGAGTAGCTCAGCCAGCTGCACATGAGCCCTGAAGGGACCTCAGCGCTGGTGTCTTTGCACACCGGGTGCAGGCCTGTATGCACCCAGGGTACCTCTTTGCTTGGAGACCCTGCTAAAAGCCAGACACTGGCTTTCCTTTTCTTTCTTTCTCTCTTTTTTTTTGAAGACAGTCTCACTATGTTGCCCTCAGTAGAGTGCCATGGCATCATAGCTCACAGCAACCTCCCACTCCTGGGCTTAAGCGATTCTCTTGCCTCAGCCTCCCGAGTAGCTGGGACTACAGGCGCCCAGCACAATACTGAGCTATTTTTCTGTTGCAGTTGTCATTGTTGCTTAGCTGGCCCGGTTTGGGTTCGAACCATCAGCCTCGGCGTATGTGGCTGGCACCGTAACCACTGTGCTACGGGTGCTGAGCCCAGACACTGGCTTTTCAAAGTAAAAGTTGCCATGTGCATTGCGGGGAGGGGCAAGTGACAAAAGTTCTGGGTAACACATAATGACCTTATGGCAAAGGGGGTTTTGGGGACCCCAGAGTTCATCTTGCCCAATATGCAGTGCTGAGATTTGAAACCTAGCATGGCCACTAGCTAGGGCTTGGACCACAGTTAGATGGAGCAGCTTCCATAAAGGAGTCCTTAGCTTGCTGCTCAACCTTTTTGAGCCTCAGTTTCCCCATCTGTAAAATGGGAATAACGAGAGCCATTCTGCAGGATAATTATAAGATTACAGAGTGTGCACACAAGTGCTTGGCCCAAAGGAGACACTTGGCTGGGAATTATTATTAATCACTGGGTGGCAAGTTCAGACTTAACAGTCTCTGAGAGGCAAATGCAATAGATTTTACCTCTTAATTATCTAAATGTTGAAATGTTAAATTGCTCTGAGGAATTTCATTCCATGAAATCTACAGAAGCTGCAAATAATAGTTTTGATCTTTCTGGATGCTTTGAGGGTGTCTGGCTCTTTTAATAAATCCTTTTGGGAGAGCCACGATGCTGGCTGAATTTAGCAATACGCAGAAGACCAGACTTTTTGGAAAAGCAAGTTGGCATCACATAGCAACAGTGTGTTGGCATCCAGCCGTTTCATTCTTGTTATTAGGTGTGAATTCTAAATTCAGGGTTTTGTCCCCTTATGTGCATCACTTCTCAAAATAGTTTTCTTCTAAGTGTGGAGTCCCTAAATGCTAACAGCTCCAATTTCCCCATTCGGGCTTCCAAGGACATAAGAGAGGACAAAGCCATAGTCCCCCACAGGGTCACAGGGTAGGGCAGAGGGTGGGACCAAACCTGGGAAGCCAAAAAGAGGGGCCTTGGAGTGGAGTCACTGAGGGTCTGTCCCAGAAAGATCACACTTCCAGCTTCCTCCTCCTCCTCCCCTTCGCCGGCTCTGCGGCCAACCCTTACAACCTCCATCCAAAGGCTGCTGAAAAACAAGCAGATGTTGGCAGCGCAGCATCCCAGCTCCATCTCAGTTCTTCCAGCACCTGAGTGCTCACCTGGGCAACCCACCAAGCTGAGCACCACCACTGCCATCTACCTGCAGACGTGCCCGATAGGGTGCAGATCCCAGACCCCTGTCAGAGCAGAGTACAGGTACTGCAGCTAGCATGGCCTCTGACTTGCCGTGTGAGGTTGGGCAGCCTCTTCCTTTTTGGGGGCCTCAATTTCCTCACATGAAAGTGGGTGGGGACGGGTGATTTATGACCTCCAAGTTCCCTCCTCTCTTCATGGGTCTTTCCTACCTTATATTATGAATGCTGGGCAATGCCCGAATATGACCAGGACTCCTGGACACACCTGAGAGAGGAAGATAAGTGGCTGGATTTGGGTGGGTGTTCCATTGACACAGTGGAAGTCTCTTCCTGCCCTCACAACCTGGCATTAGCCCCCCCCCACAAGGATAGAGGAGTCCATTTAGGGCACCCTGACAGCAGCTATTATGAAAGACCATCAGAACCGCAAACCTGGGAAGATGCTTTCCTGGCCAGCAGATTCTTCGCTGATATGAGACATTCTTGGAGCTTCGCAGAGTGTTTTCAGAATTTTTCTCAGCCCTTTGCCCCATGTAACCTCCTTAAGAAGGCAGAGCCAGGATTTCAAACTAAGAATGGAACCAGACACTTCTAGCTGAAAAGATATTTGAGATCTTTTTGCTTTTCACATAAGACATACAGGTCCACGGAGCAAATAGACTTGCCCAGGGTCACATAGCAGGTGAGTAAGAGCGTTGGAGCCCAAAGCCAGAATCGCCAGCTACTAGCCGTCGGCCCAGGTAAGCATGAGTTTCTGAGCCAGATAGGCTGGGGTTCAAATCCTGCCTTTACAATTTACTGGGCATGTGACCTTGTGCAAATTTACTCACCTGTAAAACAGAGCTGGTCCTATCTCCTGGGGTTCAACATGATCATATGTAGAAAGTATTTGGTTAGCACAATGGTAAGAATTTAAAATTGCCTGATGAATGTTCATCATCACCATTGCTATTGGAATAAATTGTTACTGTTATCATTGTTGCTGGAGAAGACAGTCTCAGAGGAACTGCAGCTTGGCCAGAAGACCACAGTCCGCAGGGGCACAGACTGGAGCCTGGCAATGCCAGCAGCCTCGGTAACGGCCTCCCCATGTCTCCGCAGGCTGGTGGAGCTCTCCTCCTCTGCGCCCATCGGCTCCCACTGGGGTGTGCTGTCTAAGTGCTTGGCCTACAGCAAGGCCGCGTCTGATCCCTTCGTGTACTCCCTACTGCGACATCAGTACCGGAAAAGCTGCAAAGAGATTCTCAACAGGGTCCTCAACAGACGTGCCCTCCACTCCTCGGGCCTTACGGGCGACCCTCACAGCCAGAACATGCTGCCCATCTCTGAGTGAGGCCCTCGCTCTTCTGGACAGCTCAGGATGAGGCCGTGGTGAGAAGAGGGGAGGGTGGACTTGGGGCCCCTGGGTAGACACCACCAGCCACCAGCCCCTGGGCAAACCTGGTGACTCTGGTTCCCTGACCCTGGAGCTTACCTCCTTGTTCCTCAAGGGCTGATGTTGGACTGTCCCTGTTTGTCACCAAAGGATAACTGTGGGCCCTGCTCTGGCCTTTCTTTCTGAGATGCTCCTTTGAGCTCCCGGACTCACCGAGGCTCCCCAGGGAACAGCCCTCTGTCCTGTCACTGTCAAGGATGCAGAGCGCTGGTGGCAGGTGAAGAAGCAGAATGTCCACCTGTTTCTTGCCCATTGGACATTGGGCTCCATGCTGAAGTAAAGTGGTGGTCTCCAGGGGACATTTTAGTCATGCTGGAAGTGAGTGACCATTTGGCCCCAGATTTGATGTGACACTTCTTCTCCACAGGGTAGTGGTGGTTGCTTTAACCCAAATATTCAGCTGGTACTAACTAAATTGTGCTCAGCTGGGACTCTTGGGCTCTGTGCTCAAGGGGAAAATGTTTAACAACTTGTGGCCACCCCATTGCTACTGGCCAGTTGTCTTAGAAATGGTAAATTCAACTTTTGTCTTTCTCTCCCCCGCCCCCAAAAGTTAATTTTTGTGTGCGTGGACAATCTTAGCATGAAAATGGTTGAATTTGGCAGGTAATATATATATTAGGTTCTCTGAAGTCTGACCATCTGGTTTACTTGTCCTGACGGCGGGATTCAGTAAGACCAGTGGAAGGGGCTGGTCGGCCTCCCCTGCCCTGTCTGCAACTGGAATTTGCAGGAAGCTTCTCACTTGTCTTGTACATCTTGTCCAGCACGTCCTGTGAGATGGATGGTCAAGAGCTGGCCTGAGCAAGGGTTTAGCTTCTATTTTACCACCCTGGGTTCCATTATCTTGATGGCTTCATATCCTAGTTTCTGTAATCTGTCACCGGAAAGTAGAGGCTGTCCAAAGTTACCAAGAGAGTGCCCTGTGCTGAGGAGAGGGTGAGGTTTTCAGAGACGACCATAGCTGTAACACACATGCCAATCCATTAGCAGCCCCATCTTGATTTAATAAAAGCCAGGGTGAGTGCCCAGGCCATCTTTGTTTACCATTTCAAATTGACTTGTGAGCGCTAAGAGCAGCTATTTCCCGATCCTCCACTCTAAAGTGGTCCGCAGGGTGCAAAGGCTGCAGCACTTGAATTAGATGCTCACTCTCTCCTTCCCGCTCCACCTCCTACCTCTGGAGGTATAGGGGGAAAACCCAGCTTTCACAAAGCCACTCATAGAATCTATTGTTTTTTGGAATTTTTTTTTTCTGCCAGGCAGCCCTGGACCTAGAGGCAGAGAAGTGTGTGCATTTCTATTTGAAAGGATGCTGTCTTAGTAACTCCGAGCTCCTTGTTTAGAAAACAACTCAGCCTGGCCTGGTCTTGCCTAGTTTCAGAGTTTCCATGGAGGCAGGACGGAGACAGACGTGACCTCCAGAGAGGCTTGGATGTCTTCCTGTTGCTGTCAGTGGTGTGTGCTCCCTCCTACTTAGGGGAGCCTGTGGGGTCTGCCGCTTTCTCATTCCACAGTCAGGGATGCCACGTGAGTGGCTAGCGATCAGCCAGGAGCTTTCACCCTAGGAAAATCAGGGAGGCTAAGGACCAGGACTTTTGACACAGGGAGCTGGTTGTTAAACACCTACCAGCAGCACACCATGCCAGACGTGACCTTGTGCGTTACTCAAACGAAATCGCGTAGGTTCAGAGCCCATTTGGCCACTCAAATTGGAACCGTGACAGACACGAGCTTTTGCAGTCTTCCCAGTGATGAGCAGCTGTGCACCCCCCACCCTCCCACTGAGACTCAAAACAACACAGTATGCGGGTGGATTCCAACACGGGTATTTCCCTTCTTACACGGCCACCTTTAAAGATGAGCAAAGAGCAGTCGTGACCCAGTGATGAGATCAGTGGACAGTCAGAGTCAAGCAGAAAAATACATCGTCACCAATTTCAGTTTGGAGGACTAACCATGGCAGCTCCTCCCCCGTTTGCTCTGTCCTGTAGAGGCGACGTGTTGGCCGCCGAGTAGCAGCTAGCTCTCTTTCACCACTTCCTTAGCTAAGAGGCAAGATCTGTCACCCACAGCACCATGTCTTGAAAAGATGCATTTGTCATTTTCATTAGACCTCTATAAACAACCCATAAAACCAGTTGTATTGGCCTCGTGCAGACAGAAACTCCAGATTAGTTCATGGATTGGGTGTTTTTATTATTATTCAGACACAGGCACTAAAACCCAAGGGGAAGTGAAAAGAAAATTACCACGTTAGCCGTCAGCATCAAGCAACTCCAGCTCAGCTCTGATTACCTTTCCGGAAGTGTTCATACTCATCTGTCCCCAGGCGATCAAACTTGCCCCCGGCTTTATTATTCCCAATTGAATTATCTACCTCATTTTGGTAATTTAATTTATCACATGTAACATTGTTTTCTCAGGTATAACACATAGAGACACCACGATTTTCAGCATCTAAATCAAAGGGCCCAGCCCAAACTCTGAACAGTTGGACTCAGTGAAAACATTTAAGAAGCTTGAAAATCAAGCTGGTAAAAAGAATGCGTTCCCATCCCTAAATCACAGGTAGGACTCTGCTCCTAGTCCTGCACAATCGGAATTTGCCTTTTAACCATCCTGCAACTACTCTAGCTCTTCTTTAGACCCCTTCCTGAAGGAGCAGATTTTAGAGCCCTGGGCCCCCTAAAGGAACAGGCCACTTGCCACTTGCATGGTTGCGGTGGCATTTGGGGTTTGTGCGTCTGGAGGCCTGCTGTCCTCTCAGACACGCCTCAGCAGCAGCTGCCCATGCTGGCTCAGAAACCTGGCTGGGGAGGAGGGGACTTTGTCCTGAGCATCTCAGACCAACCAGATATTCCTCTAGGACTCAGCTCAGTCTCCTGTCACAATAAATCTCTCTCCTTGTGTTTGTGAAATTAATTTTCTTTTTCGTGGTGCCTTTTTTGTTCAGAGAGGAGGGGAAGAATGGGGCCAGGTTTATGGGCTGGTTGTCACCCTTTGAGATATGCCTGGTGCAGGTAGAGACCTCCACACAGCTGCCGCCTGACCCTCGCAGGAACCGCAGGCTGTGCGTTGTTAGGGTTTAGTCCAAATGCAAGATGGACTAATTTGCCCGACTTTAATGAGGACACTTTATCAGGTGCCAGAAAGCCCTCGGATCAGCTCGTGTCCTTTAAACCATGAGTGCTGTTGGAAAGAAGGCTCTGGGAGGTATTTATATCTGGGACGGAGTCAACTTTGCCAGCCACAAGAGTCACTATGGCCATTGTTTAATATATGGATTCTGGAATCCTCTCCTTGGGTCCATTTGGGCAGGTCCAGGCCAAAGCTGGGTTTGTCCATTTCCATCAAGGCCTTAAGGAAAACTGATCTTAGATGTTTGGATAAACTCCATAGAAAACTGAGTGTTTGTGAATATCTAAGTCTCAGTTGTCTCGTATTTCCCCTAATTCTCCAAATGGTTCACTCTCCAGCTTTCTTTAAGGGCTGCTGCATTTAGTTCTTAGACAAAAATGATCTCTTCATGAAATTCTGAACATCTTTCTTCCCAAGATCTTGCCTGAACAGCAGAAGCTGCCTGCCCTCACCTCCCAGGACATTTGCAAAGCAGCCTCGCTCCTTGGGGCTCCCAAGGCTTCAGCATGACACAAGTTTGCGGGTGTCAGCAGAGGATGGCAGCAGGGCCGACCTGTGAGAGGACAGGCACCATGGTGTTCAGAGGGCCCCGAGGGACACCAGCAGGGCCTGTGAGAGGGATGGCATCTGCCCCCACCCAGAGCTTGTCCCACTCTCTTCCCACCCAGCCTCATACATGGAGAGCTGAACCAGGCTGAGGCACGGCTGGGGAGAGACAGTTCTGGATACCAGCCCTTGGTATGGGTCTCTTATTGGTCCTATCCATCATGGCTGACCCTGCCTGGTGCTCCCAGGAACAGCTGGTGTTGATGACAATGACCTTAACTACTGTGTGTACAGGTTAGATGAGACCCCAGGCCAGCATCAAGCATGCTGAGCAGTGTTCCTACTAACCTTCATAGTAATCTTTTGACATAGGTTCTATTAGTGTGTCCATTTTACACACCCGGGAGGATTTGTAGGTCCTGAGTAAATGCAACACAGGGCAGTGGTATGGAGAGGGGAACGCTGGTAACAACGGGAAAAGCCCACAAGTCCACATGACTCTGGCTGGTTCTGAGCTCAGCGGGTATTGTTCTGCCTTCAGCAGACAGCCCCACCTTCTCAGCACCTGGGTTCACCCCCATGCCCACCAGCTGGGCCGTGGACTCCTCCGGTCATGTGGTTGGGAAGCAATTCTCTGGGCATCTTTCTCCATGTGTGTGCTTCTGGGGGGAAGACGCTTAACAGTGACCTGTGTGCCCAGGAGGTAAGGCTCAGCCTTTCCCAGGGAACCCACCTGACTACAGGTTTCAGGTGTGTGAGGGCACACTGCCAACCTGGGTTCTCCTGAAACTCTGGGCCATCGGCCTCCACGAGCATCTGAGGACACGGCTTTTCTCTGGCACCAGAGTGAACCTCTTAGCACCCGGCAGCCTGGAGGACTTACACAGAGGACCCTGGTTTTAGCTCTAGGACCCTGGGCTGAGCAGCTGTGGGGAAAGGCTGAGTGGACCTTGGCTTCTGGGTCTCTATGGTTTGGTCCTGCAGGTTCAGGGGAGGATGCTGTCTCCAAGCAGGGTGGTTTGCAAGATCCCCACAATCCCTCCCAGCTGGCTCATACTTTCTCTCAAGACCAAGTGACCAATCAGCCCCCAGAGAGTTAGTCTTACCCCAGACCAGCTGCCTCTGCTCTGCTGGTGGCCAAAGTCCTGACCTGGTCAAAGGCAGGTGACAGGAACCTCAGTCTTGCTCCTTCCTCAATTCAGGCACAGCCAAGACGTCAAAGGCCTCCTGGCACCTCCTTGGGGATCGACAGCCTAGCAGGGAGGAGTCAGGGGTTCCTAGGAATGCAGCTGTCCAACTTCTTGGGGAATCTGCCACGGAAGGAAGAGGCAGGAGGACAGACAGTGGCTCTGCCAGCCTGACCCAGGAACTGCTGTGCAGAGCAGTGACCCACCAGTGACCCACCAAATGCACCCTCACAGCTGTGGCCCCAACCAGCGCTATGAAGAGCACCCCCATCACTCCTCGGACACTTACTGAGCGCTGACTGTGTGCCGGGCCCTACACTGCGTCAAGCTGGCAGGACAAGTCATTACTGCGCAGGGCAGGGGCGGGGTTCTCGGAGGGGTCTGCTTAGTGCTGTGGGGGCAAAGGGGTGAAAGGGAAAGGCTGGAGAACCTGGCTGGTGAACAAGGAGTGTTCTGGGAAGCTTTATGGAGGTGCTGACTTTGGCCAAGAACTTAAAGTGGGGAAGAGCATGTGGTGAGACACAGAGGAGATGGGAGCCCCCCGGTGGATAGGACTCAGCCAAGGTCTAGGGAGGATGCCCCCGAGTGCTGAGAGGGAGGTGACCTGTGGCCAGTGGCAGATGAGAGAAGTCTTGAAGTTGGGAATCCCAAAATTAGATCTTTTTTTAGAAAGAGAAGGTATGTTAAAAAAAAAAGAAAAAAGGAGAGAGAGAAAGAGAAAGGGAAGATGAGAGGAAAGCCGGTGTGTGTTTAGCTAATGAGAAGGGAGAAAGAAAAGAAAACAGAAAATAAAGAAAGACTAGGGAATGAGAAGGGGGGAAGGAAGGCAGGAGAGAG